AAAAGTGATCCCAGTCACTACGCGCAACGTTTACCTACACTAACTGGGAATTTACCTACACCTGTGGTCAGTGATCACCGCCGTTGTGCACATTCTACCGGGATTGGTTCTCTGAGAGGTGATGACCCCAAGGCCGCTCAAGGGTGTATGGACTATGATGTGGTTGGTCTTAAGGGTTCGTTTGGTGGTTTGGGTACTCCTCTCGAAGAATCTTCGACTCTGTACGCCATAGAGAATACTATCCGGAAGTCTTCCTATGGTTCTAGTTGTGAAGGATTAGAACTAGGAACTGACTCTATACTGGTTGAAGATCATCCTTATGTATGGCTGCCGACGTTCGGTATTCTACGTAAGGAGCTACTAGAGGGTCCAGAATGTCAAGATATCCGGGGCGGTATGTCTACGGTCCTGGGGAACTCGGAGGCGCCCGATATGATGGTCACACAAGCTGAACAGGGGAAGCTTAAGGACCTTCCAAGCGAGTATCTATGTCCAAGGAGTAGCGAGACTACGACCTGCTTATCTGCACTGGCCAACGCGGATACGGTCGATAGGTCTGGTACTAGTGATATGGATGAGAAGGGTGATAACGACGACCCGTGCATGCTACCATCAACTCACAAGGGTATCGTCTGCTCCGAAGGCTTGACATTCAGGGTGATCTCTGACGCTGATTGTCAAGGTTACCAACGCCCTAACCCCTTGCCCAGATTTGGTGAGGGACGGGTAAGGTCTGATGGCTTCCAGGGTACCATGGAAACACTGACCTGTCTTACTGTCCGTGATAGTAAGGCGCCCAGCACACCCCTCACTGACAGATTAGGTGAGGAAGGAGCTGGCCCTGTTGTTAAAAGGGGCATTGTGAGGCAACAGGGACCCCGTACCGAAGGTCTTCCAAGATTTGCGGGGGACGTGTCGTTTACGGGAAGATCAGTTAGGGAATTGTTGCATATGTTGTGTGCTCAAGGATGTTCCTTGACTAGGGTTGCAGTGCGTGAGCCGTTGGTCCTTGTGCGATTCTATGGGCTCCTGAGAGAGGGCCCCCACTTGGATGACCCTATCGGAGGTAGCCACGTTATTGTTAACGCTAGTACGGTTCCAAACCTGGTGCTAGGAAGGGAGCAGCTACACATGTTGAGTGTAGGAGATCCACTATGGATGTTCCAAGGAGGATTCTATGCTGATGTTACGGAGTGTGAGTCATTGGTCCTCGTGCGCCTCTATGGGCTCCTGAGAGTGGGCCCCCACT